CAGAAATTACAGCTGACTTATGCCCTTCAAAGAATACTTGAATACAAAGAACGGAGAAAGGGACAACTACACCCCAGGGGCAACAGAAACTAAATGAAGGTATAATCATGGAAACACAAAATTAGACCAAAAATACAAACGGCAATCAAAATGATGGCAACCAATATACATCTTTCAATAATAACTTTAAGTATCAATGGAATGAACTCTCCAAAAGGATGGAAAAGAATATTCCAAGCAAATGGCACTAGGAAACAAACAGGGGTTGCAATTCTACTATCTGAGAAAATAGACTTCAAAGTAAAACTAATCAGAAGAGATAAAGAGGGTCACTTCATTCTGATCAAAGGAACAATTAACCAAGAAGACACTACAATCATGAACATACATGCACCAAACTCTGGTGCACCCAAATTCATGAAAACACTATGGGACTTTAAACCTACAAATTAACCCCAACTCAGTAATAGTAGCCAACTTTACCCCACCGTCTCCATTACACAGGTCAACCAAAGAACAAACAGAGAGACGTCTCAATTAAATGACGCCATACATCAAATGGACCCAACGGACATCTTCCAAATATTCTACCAAAGAACGCACTTCCCATTCAGCACCCCATGGAACTTTCTCAAAAACTAACCACACCTGACAGAAATCTTTATTCTCAGTACAAATGAAAATAGAATTTGTGGGTTTGGCCAAGTCAGACTTTTTCTGACTTGTTAAACCAGCGTGGTCTTGGTATTACTACCAGGAATGCTGTGAGGCTGAAAGTGGCTTCAAGAGGAGTATCTTGCATGCCTTTAATCCCTGCATCCGGTAGGCAGAGGCCAGCAGACTGAGATGGAGGCAATCCTGATCTACATAGTGAGTCCCTATCTTTAAAAAAACAAAAAAGGTAGAATCTTTGCTCTTTCTGAGACGGGATTTGGTATGCTGCTCAAGTTGGCCCAAGTGCTCTTCTGTCTCAGCTCTCATGTGCTGGGGGAGGGCAGTAGAAAAGTATGATAGACATGCATGAACACGTCAATCTAACCAATTTCACTGTATATTAACCAAGACTTTTTTTTAAGACAGTTGATTTCTGAAGCATTTCCCAGTCCTAACTAGGACTTACACACTGGTTAAAGGTTACTTCTCATTCAATCAGTGACAATCTGCTACTCTTTTTAAAAAGAATGTGTACCTGGGAGATGGGGTATGTGCATGTAAGTGCAAATGTTCAAGGAAGCCAGAAGAGAGTGTTGGATCCCCTGGAGCTGGAGGTACAGGCAGTTTTGAGTTGCCCAAAGTGGGTGCTGGGAACTGAACTTGGGTTCCCTGTAAGAACAGTAAATGCTCTTACTCCCTGGATCATCTCTCCAGTACCCTCATCATTTTAAAATTTCATCTATCTTTGTCTTTGTTTTCAGCATTTCTGATTTGCTTGTCTATAATCTTTGTCTACTTCCCAATTGTGCTGTTCATTATTTTTACCCAATTCACAACTGCTTGATTTATATTCAGTATCTGTACTCCTCTTTGATTATATATGCTTCAATCCTACCTTCTGAGTCCAATCATGACAGAGGGGAGAATGCACTAAGAGAAGAATCAGGGTAGAGGTAAACAAGCTAACATGTACAAAAGTTAACATTTACTACACAGACATTATAAATGAGGTTCACTTGTGGTTGATGAAAATTCAAGGTTCCAAGATGAGGACTGCAGGGCCTTCTCCTATGCTGAATGGTGTCTAAAGCTAAATCCCTGCACTAGACCAAGCTGCAGGTAACTCAATGGCAAATGGCTTATGTGGCCATGTGCAAAGTGCTAGGTTCCATTCCCAGTACATACACACCAAAAGAGCAAGCTCTCTCACCTTTTCCACTATGCAATTCTCCCCCAAACATGGTTCTTTAAAAAGATCCCCCCGACACAGCAAAATACCATGTAATCATTTTAAAACACACACAAGAACCACAGGCATCCAGATATAAATTTGTAAAATTTTTCTTTAAAAGAAACACAGAAATCATGGTGATGTCATAATAAAGTTGTAAGAGTTAAAAACAAGTTTTCTTTAGCCAAAGAACATAAATAATGAAGAAGAAAAAGAACATCTCAACAGAGGACAGCAATGCTCTCGGAGGGCCAGGGCAAAACAGTCAAAAGAAACCACAAACTAGACAACTCCTTTCAAAACAGTGTCATTCACAGCAACTTAACTGAGGTCTTATTTTATGAAAAGGTTCTGCAAAATACAAGTATTTTATTCTATTTTATTTTATTCAGAGACAGGGTCTCCCTGTAGCCACGGGTGGCCTAGAACTTGATCTCACAGGGATTCCCCCCCCAACCCCAGCCTCTGGAATGCCGGGATAAGCGTGTGTGCCACCACACCTGGATCCAAAGCCAAGTATTTTTCCCTTTATGTAGTCTCTGCATAAAAGGGATAGGCACACTCACAGAACATGGCTCAGGCCAGCTTACTTCAACCCCACTGTGTGTGTTCCTGTCATTGTCCAAAATACAAATATGTTCTCCAAAATTCATCACAACCAATGCTCATCTTTCAAACTCACCTGACAGTCACTTTGGAGACTATACCTGTGTATTAGGGGTTGTAAGGAGCAAACACTGAGTGCAACTCCATAGTAGTACTGATACTCAATGCTTGCTCATTCTGTGAGAAGCACTGTGGTGTGGTGTGAAAAGCGCTGACCTAGAACAAAATCTAGGTTACAACTCCTGCTCTAACCACTTTACAAATCCTTGTAATTTTCAGATTAATGGAGCCATGCATGACACTGTACAATCTTGACTCAGGAAAGATACCAGGCTAAGTAAATATTTTAAAATTCTTTTAACAATAAAGAGTCGGAATACATTTCATGCATACTACATTTTTAAGGCTATTGAGGTCTGTAGGTAAACATTAGAAATAACAAAAATATTTTTACCCTTTTTATTACAAAGAAAAACTCTGAAAATGTTATTTATTTAAAGCTGCAGTGTTAGAATTGCAAAATGCCCTACAACCAGGTCACAATTGTTTCATTAAACAATTAAAAGAAAAAATATGTTTGCACAAAAATTTTCCAAAAAATTTATCCTTTTATCAAATAGAATAGAAAAATATTTGAAATTAAAACTCCACATTGTACCATTTCTTTTAAAAAAACACTTCCAAATAACATATGATTTAGTTTTTCAATAAATAGACTATATATATATATATAAGTAGTTCCTTGTAGTCTGCAACTTCAGGCCTTGTTAGATACACTAACACGTCAGGTTTTGCATGACCTACCTACACAGACTAAGAATTGGGTTACCTGTAGAGGACTTAACACCAAGGTGTTCTTTTTAAAAAATTCTTAAAACTGAGACTAAATAGACACTCAACAGAGTAAAATACCTCAATCATATTTTGCCATCTTGTTATGTCATTCAATAATCTAACAGTTTTTATTAACCAAGCATTAGGAAAATAATTTAAAAAGCAAACAACATAACCTGTCTTAAACAACAGTAGCAAATTCTACCTTATAAAGAGTGTTCTCGTATTTTAACATTTTGTTAATTGTTTATGTTTGGGGTGGGGCAACATCCTGGTGCAAGTGTGGAGGTCAGAGGACAACTTTCAGGAGTCAATTTTCTCCTCCACCATGTGGGTCCTGGAGCTCAAAATCAGGTCATCAGGCTTGACAGCAAGTACCTTTACTCACTGAGCCAACTTGCTGGCCCCTATTTTATCAATCTACCAAGCAGGAAGGAAGGTCTATGAATGTAACTATCCATATGTTTTTCCTTTCTGTTTGAGACAAGGTCTCACTTTGGGGTCTTTGGCCATCAACTGCCTCAGCCTCAAAAGTGATGGGTCACAGGGGTGAGCCACCATGCCCAGCTTAGTAGTTTCCAAGAACAGGACAAACCTGAAAATATTTGTTAAGGGTTAATTACTGTCCACTTTATTTTCTTTACATCTGAAATTCAGAATTAATATGTGGCCACATTAAGGAAAATTTATATATGAAAAAAGTTTATTAGAAAAATAAACAACTTTTTTACAATTTTACAATATTTTCTACTTCAAGATTCTTTTAGATAAAGCTGATGTGCCTTGTGGTTGATATATAAAATGTGATTTACAAAATTTTGTCTAATTCTACCTATTTTGTAAAACAAAACATAAATGGTAAAATGGTGGAGTCTTAACAAGTACCAAAAAATCCAGTGTAAGAGTTCCACCCAAACACCATGTGTTCCAGGTGCCTACAGCAGCATATACTGCAAACTTTATCAAACAACTTCCAAAGGAATTTAACATTCTGGTCACTACCAAAAATCAACACTGTCATAGTAAAATGCAAAGTGTGCTCTATGTTTATTTTTCCAAAATTTTTATCAGGTTGACAAGGGGACAACAGACTCTTTTAGTAGGCTCATCTACTAAATACCTTAGACTTGCAGGAACCCAAGATGTCACTACTCAAATATGCCACAGCAAGGAGAAAGTAGTCACAGACATGGACATGGGCATGAATAACCTGTGGGTTGCACTGTTCATTGCTAGATTAATTTTGATAAGAAATATTATCTCACACATAGACAAATATGTCATATACAGGCACAGGAAGACATAGGTGGGTAAAAATAATATAGATTAAGAAATATTAATAAATGTACACTACAGACTCAAATTCTCACACTTTTTTCCAATCATAAATGCATGTATATATAAACATGTATTCATAAAAGTTATAAAACTAGCTTATTTTATCATATTCTTTTTGGTGTGCTAATAGCATCAGACCAAAGTCACATCAGCAGCAAAAGGACCATGAGTTACTGAGTACTCAGAGGCAAATCAATAACCAGCAATTTGGTTTTGACATCTAAACATTTCTACCAATGAAAATAGCTAATGAGTTTACTGTGCACCTAAAGAAAATATTGGGAGTATACTTTCAAATGTCATTTGAAAATTAAATTGAATTGTTACAATTTGAAGCTAAATGTGATTTGCTTTGTTTTATTAGAAAAAATACTCAAGCAAGGTCTACAATCATCGGTCAATTAAGAATGACTTACAAGAACACGGGGCAATAAAATAAAAGTACAGGTACAAACTATATATCTGCAACACTTCTATTTGGCAATGTTTTAACAAACCAAAACTTAAGAACAAAGGAGATTGCAGATTACGTCATAGATACAGAATAAAACAGATGATGAAGTGCTTAAGCAAAAGAAAACAAAAGATAAAATAGTTAAGAACAACTGCTTCTTTCCTTTTAAAAAATAAACTCGAATCTGCTACAGCTCATGTGGAAAACACCCTATCAAACAGCCGTTCCAGAACGCCTTCACCAGCGGGGCTTTTTCGCTCACACCTCACTGGGTTTAGGTGACTCATTCCCTGTATGCCTCTTACCCCAATGCTAATGACTAAAGTCTTCCATACTTTTTATTATCATCTTTTATTTTTAAAAGCAAACGAGAAATGATTTATGCATCATGGAACCTTTCCCATTTTGGAACCAAAGGCTTAACTTTATATTTTTGTCTATTCTTTTTTTAAAAAATTTAGTGTAAAAACTGCTGGTTTTTATATCACTGTAGTAAAGTGAAAACTCCTCAATTAGGAGTATTTTTTTGCAGTTTGACTGCATATAACCACATACTTTACAATATGTCCTTCCAACAGTAAGGAAATAATTGATTTCACGGTCACTGTCAGAAGCGAGTGCCACAGCTCTATTACAGGCCTAGGTCCTCCCCCGAAGACTTTCTGGAAGGATGTTCAATGTGTTTTGTTCCTACAGATATTAACAGTAGTTACACAGTCCCTTAAGTCTGCAAAGACATTTATTTTGTCAAGAAGGTGCTTTGTTAGCAAGTCCTCTGGCAGCACTAGTGAATTACAATAGCCTTCAATATTATCTCTACCATAGTATATACATTTAACTTTCATGCCTCTAGAAAAACATCTACAGTACATTTCATAATATAAAAATATATTACAAATCTGCGGAATTATTTACAAGCAATGTTCTAATATCTCTATGCAACATTTGTTTGATACAATACTAACAAGTTACACATATTTCCATTTCTGTAAAGTTAAAAAAAATTCCATATGGCTTCTTGCTTATCAAGCAAGAAAGTGATTTTATTTTCCTTTTCAAAACCAACTTTGGTGCATAAAGGATTCGGTTTGAAGATACTTTAAAAAAAATACAATTTTCTTACATTAAGAAAAAACTCAAAAATCAATGCTTTCTTCAGAAAAAAATTAGTCATATAGGTTAAATGAAAATATGAAGATTATTCAAATACTTTAAAAATCGAGGCTTTTCAAAAACCGTTAACAGATTAGTTGTGTAGGCAAGTATTAACATACTGCACTCCATGAGAAACCCTAGTCCTGAAAGGGGAGCCACCAGACACTGCAACACTCTTTAACAGTATTTTTTCAGACCTAATTCGATAGACGAATTTTTAGTTGATTGCAAACGTCGTTCACTGTTTGCTTAAATACAAATTGAACACCTTTCTTATCAGAGTTCTGCAAAAGAACACAAATGGCAACCAATCACATCTATTTATCATGACTGAAGGGTCCTTTTCTCTGGTAATTTCCACTGTCTAAATACCTTCTACCAGGACTTCAAATTAATCAACACAGTCAAGACATACCCTTACAGTGCTTTTGGTATCTTAAGGGCAAGTGTTTTTCCTTTCCAGTAGAACTACTGTAATCACTAAGGGGAAGGAAAAAAAGCAGCTGAAAGCAGCCAGCATGCAAAGCCTTTCAGAAGCTGTTCCGCTAAGTTGCCAGAAGTGTCTGCTCAGTCTCCCACAGTATCATTCCATGAGATGTGGATATACAGTAATATATTAATATATTCCACAGAAGACCTACTTCATTCACAGAATGTCCACACTAAGCATAAATAGTATTCTAAATATTGGACTTAAAAAATAAAAGAGGAAGGGGGTTGACTCTAATGTGCAACTTTTCCTAAGCCCATTGTCAGTGACTAAGACTGCAGGTGTCCCCGCTTGTCTGCTTTTATGTATGTATTTATTTTTACCTCTTCAACCTCTTCTGCGGCATTGTTCTAGAAAAAGAGAAAAAGGAGTTTTCTTTTATTCAATTGAATCAAACACAGTGAGTACTCCAAAAGAAGCATTACAAATACTTAAACTAAAATGTAGTGATGATTATTAAATCTATTTCCAAGCACTGGCTCCAAGCCTACTGTCCCTGCACAGGAGACTGAGGCAGGAGAATTAACTGAACCCAGAATTCAAGGACAGTCTGGGCAATACACCAAAACCTGACCCAGGAAACAAGTATGCTTATTAAAATCAAAAGAAAATGGGCAAACATTTAAAATATAATGAACACAAATGTAGCTACAGAACTTTTTAATAAAATTTTTGTAACCAACCTAGTAATATTTCTACAAAAAAAATCTATGTTTAACACAGGCTAATTTAAGCCGGGCATGGTGGTGTTCACCTTTAAACCCAACACTAGAAAAAAAATCTATGTTTAACACAGGCTAATTTAAGCCGGGCATGGTGGTGTTCACCTTTAAACCCAACACTGAGGAGGCAGAGGTAAGTTCAAGGCCAACCTGGTCTACTTAGCGAGTGCCAGGCCAGCTGGGGCTACAGGGAAACCGTCTCAAAAAAAGAGAAGCGCCCACCCCCCCAAATTTGGATTTAAATCCCAAATAAATGTTCTTTATAGTCTCAGTTAAATATATTTTGAGGGATAGTCATGCTTTCATTTTGACACATGCATTAGCAAGAATCCACCCCCGGCACACAGACAAAAAGAATGATTTTTTTTTTCCATTTTACAAGTCAAAATGCAGACACTTAGACAATCATCTCACACCAAGGCAAACGATGAAGCCTCCATGACTACGCTGCATTAAAGTATGCTTCCAGAACAGAAGCATGGAAATCAGAATTGAATCTTAAGGTGCTGGGTGAGTGCTAAGTTTGGGGTGGTTGTTCTAAAACAGTTACGATAAAAGCCAGGTGTGGTAGCCCATGCCTGCAACCCCGGCACCCGGGGAATTCAGGCAGGACTGGGAGTTCAGGATAGCCTGGGATACACAAAAGCACCAACTGTCCTCATTTCTCACACACTTCTATTAAGACATCTTAAGACTATCCAATACCATTCCTGTGTACTTCATCAATACTAAGCTCAAAGAATATTTTAAGTCACTTTCACTAAAATTTCTAAGTTGTTTCCCACATGGCACATCAGCAACAATAAGTCTATCTGTTGAGAAGGAAGATCAGCAGAAAAAAAGGGCTACAAAGCAAAAACACGGGTGATCTTAATTTAGGAATCACCCTTCAACTGTCAATTCTAAAAGATGTTTACAGCCACTTCTAAAAGCAGAATAGCTCTGCTGAAAAACTGTTTATTTATTTTGACACAGGGCCTCCCTGAAGGCCCAGCTGGCCTGGAATTCACTATATAGAAACAGGCTGGCCTTGATCTCAGAGATCCGCCTGCCTCTGCCTCCTGGGTGCTGGGATTAAAGGCATGAATGAAGTCTTACAAATATTGTTCTTTTAAGGTGCTATTTTTAATTATCTCCCCAAAAGAGTAAACAGAAATAAATCCAAATTATGTGCCAAAAAAACAAAGAATACTCAACCTTATCTTTCTGAGGTGTAAACTGTGACATTTTCATATTCTAGGGAGTGACTTTCTCAATCCTCTCCTTTATAAAATATCTCATCCTGCACAGAATATTTCATTGCACTTAACACCTTCAACAAAGGATATAAAAAGGGGAGAAAGGAGGCTGGAGAGATGGGTCAGTGGTTAAGAGCACTTGCTGCTCTTGCAGAGGACCTGGGTTCAGTTCCCAGCACCTGTATGATGGCTCTGACACCTTTTCTGGTCTGTGCAGGCAGTGTAAACATGAAATACACATACATGTAGGCCAAACACTTATGCACATAAAATAAATTAAAAAGGGGGGTCGAGAATTTTCATGTTCACTCATGACCAGGCACATGTGTTAAGAATTTTGCTCTCTGAAGAATGTCTCCAACAAAACCCTGTCACACTGAATGGCATTCCAAACAGCAGAGTCTCAGAAGTAACACCCAGGAAAGTGCTTAATCACCACAAAAATGAGCTAATTTTAGAGCTGGGAATGCAAGCTCAGTTGGGAGGTACCTGCTAGGCACACATGAGGCCTCAGTTTGATCTTCAGGACCTTCCCACTCCAAATTAGCAAATTTTACAATAGCTAAAATACACATCTGGGGATTATCAAAGATATTTTACTCCTGTCAAACATATTCCTAAGTAAAATACATACTCAATTACAATTTCATTTTAGAGCATAAAGCTGAAAGCCTTTTTAAAAACTAGTTCTAAGCACTTTCTCCACTTTCTTAACCACCCGGCTACGGGACTCAGGTGCAGGCAGTACAGTGCTTGGGCCCACATTGTCTGTGTCACCCCGTCGAACAGAGCTAACTTTGTGCTGCAGTTTTCTAATCCACACAACAGAGACAGACAGTACTGCAGCAGCCAGTAGTAAGTAGGAAACCTGTGTGCTTCTCTTCCCCATGCCTTCCTAACACCACCAACTACAACAGTCAGGTCAGAGGTCAGAAATGGGAGTCTCAGAGAGGCTTATTTATTATGCACATTGGTACTGAAAATGCTCTTTTGAGAAATTTGGGGAGAATGTAAGTTTCCAAGAATTCAATGAAGTGTATGGTATTTGCAAAGTATGCAATTTATTTCCATGTCAACAAAAGTCTGAACATATACAAAGAATAATATTTTCAAACAATAGGCATTTAATTCCAAAATGTTTTTGTATTATAACCTAATCCATATAAAAAATAAATCTGAAATTAAACAAGCATAAAAACTTGACCAAAATATCATTTCCAGACTTTAGCATGTTTAACTCTTTTTGATGTCACTGCCACCAAAGTACCAAGTGGCAGGCATGCTCACATGCCTGTAGTCCCAACACGAGAGTGGTAAGGCAGAAGAATCAGTAGTTTAAAGCCAGCAGGGGCGACATGCGATCCTATGTCCTCCCCCAAACCACCGAATGAGAAGCTCAGCATACTCTGCTTGTCCGAAGTCCAAAAGTCTACACCCTGAAATTTTCTGAGCAGCAGCATGATTCTGGATTCAGAATAGGGATGCTCAACTAGAAATATCCACTGGAGAAAATAAAAAAGAAAAAGAAAAAAAACCAAACCCACAACTCTGGAATCTAAGCATTTTGGATTTAAAATATTCAATCTATACTTAAAAATAAAACCCAACTTACCAAAATTTAGAAACATTTAAGATTACAATTCAAAGAGTAAAACACTGTCATGGGATAAATTACCTGTAAATGTTTGGGTCCAAAAGCAAGGCGGTATCTTTGGGCAGCTTTGATAAATGAACTACTTTAGTTTTTAGCTGATGTCGTTCACTTTCATTCACCCACACATCTGGCAGACTGTGAATTTAAAAAAGAAAAAGAAAAGCCCAACACTTTAAAACGTTAACTTAGATATAGCCTTCACATGTCTTCCCACCCCCCAGCCTTTCCTGTTAATATGACTGAGCCACCTACTGGTTTCTGAAAAGCCAAGGGTGCTGTCATCTATATAGCCTGACAGGAACAGCAGCAAAAAATTTTAATGAATAGAATTTAGGAAAACTAGAAATTTTTGTAGGCTGGCTTTTAAACTTAGAGAAATTCATATGAGTTTTATCTAACAAAAATCTGACAATGAATTTCTTCACCAAGAAAGGAAAAAAATCCATGAGCTCAGAAGACAGCTTAGTGATAGAGTGAAAACAAACGGTGGGGATGGCTCTCTCCATGAGACTGACCTCAAGTTAAAGGGAAAAACACTGCATGTCTGTGACCAAATTCTAAATCTGAAGGTAGGTAGTCACTACAAAACATTCAGATCAAAGTATCTTGATATTTAGATTACTCAATTCCCCTAATAGGAATACTGAGACATTTGAAGTTGATATTTTTAAAGAAGTATTTCTAATCTAAATACAAAAAGAAATGTCAAAAATTAACACTAAAGTTTTATTAAGTATTTTTATTTTATGTGTATATGTATATTGCTTGCGTGTAGGTAACTGCACCCGTATCGTGCAATGCCCGCGGAGGTCAGAAGAAGCTGTTGGATCCCCTGGGACTGGAGTTACGGACAACTGTTAGCTGCCATGTGGGTGCTGGGATTCGAACCCGGGTCTTCACAGCTGGAGCTACAGGAAGACCCTGTCTCAGCCCCAACAAATAAATTTTTTAATTAAAAAAAAAAAAAAACGGTATCAAGCTAGGCATGGTGTATGATACCATCTCTGGGAAAGCAGGAGGGTCAGGAGAGTTCAATGCCAGCCTGGATAGGTGAGATCCTACCTCAAACCCTTACCCCTCCCCCTTTAAAAAAAATTTAATTAATAAGCACTACATGTGGTGGAGCTCATATCTGTAATTCCATCCATCTAGAGACTGAGGCAGGGAAACATGAGTTCAGGGACAGTGTGGGTTACATAGAGTGACCTTATCTTTAAAAAGAAAAGAAAAAACTTTTAAACTTATTTATTATATATCCTTTATTAATTTCACACTTGAATACAATGTATTCAAACCATACTCACCACCTCTCCACACTCACAATTCCACACAACAGCTGCATAAATGCTATGGAGGGAACCAACAGCTTTCTAAATGGACTTAAAATCTACCCGACAAGAGAGAACCCATGCCTGGTACAGGAAGCCTGGCGGAGAACCTGAGTTTGGGAAGGTCACAACTCTAGGAAAGAACCTACCACTATTTTGCTAATGGAACACAGTATCAACTTGCCTTCTAAACACTTTCGTTTACATACAAAGATTACTGCATCTCTCACCTCTCATCAGAAAAGCCTCTTTAAGCAATGGACAGCAATTAATAAAAGGTATTTATTAATTAAAAAGTGAAAGTTTTGAAGCATATTCTCAAAGCTTTCAATTGTCAATCCTAACAACCTCAAATCTGTATAATTTCTCTTAAGATTTCTATTTTAGTAAGAAATAATTTTTAAAATTTGTTTTTATAGAATTTTTATGTATTTCATACAGAACATCTTAATCATCTTTATGCTTAAAATTTTAATAAAAATAAAACAAGTCTATCAATTAAACAGAGTATTTCAAACACTCACATATCTTCAGGCATCCAATGAAGCAAAAGTTTTATCTTCCCAGATTCTTCTTTTCTCTTAGCTATTACCTAGTAATAATAGGAAAAGAAATGATAAAAAGTATTTATAAAACATCATTTTCTATGCCCACCATGGTGGTGCACGCCTTTGATCCCAGCACTTGGGAGGCAGAAGCAGGCAGATCTGTGAGATGGAGAGCAGCCTGGTCTACATAGTGAGTTTCAGGTCAACTGGGGCTATAGGGAGACCCTGCCTCAAAAAGACAAAAGCGAACAAACAAACAAACAAACAAAAAACCCCAAAACCATCATTTTCTAATGCTGCTTTTAAAAAGCACTTTTGTCTCTGATCAAGAACTTTAGGTGGGCAGGCCTAGACAAGAAAGACCATGACAAGACCTTCCCCTTCCCTGCCTTGCACCACCCAATCTGTCTTCCCACAACACTGAAATTTCCAAGACTTGGGTATTTTATCCTACGGCCCTCATACCACCTACAACAGTATTTAGTATAAAATGAATGAATTCAACTGTTAGAACTCTTTTTTCTGATGCAATAAACCTGAATTCAGGAAACTCGCATGCTCAAAGTCATTCCTGTTTCAGTGAAAACCTCTGAGCATTTCTGGCCCCAGAAAGGAAGAAAAGAGCTGCACAGTAAGACTCAATCACTATATACTGTTTACCTACATAGAGATCTAAGACCTAATCATTATAATACCTTTACTGCCATTACTGCAGCCACCCTAAGCCAGCTCAGGTCTCCAACCTCACCGACTAAAGCCCGTAATGTAGTACTCAGAAGCTTATTCCTGACCTGAACATTTCCTGAGCACTTAGGACAAGGTCACTCGACATGGTCAACAAAACTTTTGGGAAATGGCCTATCTATCCTCTTACATTTTATTTCTCACATTTTTCCAGTTTGAACTCCTTTTACCACAGATTAAGGATGGCTTCCCAAACTTTAAGATATTTATTTAAAAAGAGGCTTTCTTAGCTGACCTCTAATGTATCAGAACCACCATGCCAACAACATAGTATCTCACCAAAGGAATGCTACTACAAATCAGGAGCTCTCACACAGCAGGAAACCCAAATAAATCCTCCCAAGTAAAAGCAAGAACTTTATTTCTATAAAAAACGGAGTTCTGGACTGGAGAGATGGCTCAGCGGTTAAGAGCACTGGTTTCTCTGACAGAGGACCTGGATTCAATTCCCAGCACCCACGTAGCTGCTAACAACTATCTGCCACCCCAGTTCCAGGGGAACCGACACCTTCTTCTGTCCTGCATGGACACTGCACGACACAGTGCACTTATACACATGCAGGCATTAACACTCATACACATAAAATAAAAATAAAACCAATTGAGTTGAGAGCTTTTCCGAGATATGCTAAAAATAAGGGTTTAAAAAAAAAGCAAGGGAGCTGGGCAAAGGTGTGTGCCACCACGCCTGGCTAGAGGTGGGCTTCATTGTAAATGAAGTAGAGGCCAATCTTTAGGGTCAATCTTAAGGAATCCACCTAAATAGTGTACCAATCTGAACAAAGAAGTCTTAAAAAATCCAAGAAAATCCACATGCTTGCCAAATATTATCAGATTATGAAAATTCATACTTCAATGTGCTTACAGTTTCCACACTGAAATTACCACAATCAACCACTTCAAGTTACATATACCCCAATAAATACTGTAATGTCATTCTAAAGACAAAGTAAAAAGAGAAACAGAAATAAAATACTTCCTCCATCATATAAAAATATGTAGTTGAATAAATATTCCAATTCTAGACTTGACAATAATAGAAAAAGCCCAAAAGAAGATCTAGAGGCACTAACACACAAGCCAACAAAGCACTGTACGTCCACTGGTAACAAGGATTTTGCTGACCTCTTCTGGAGAAAAACGTTCATTTAAAGAAGGCCAGTTAGGCACACTGCACACACGTCACATATTTTTTTTCTTTGCAGATTGTTTCATGAACAATGTGGCTACTTCCTATAACTTAAATTTGCCATTTATACTATTTCTGACAAGAGATGCCATTCTAACTGAGCATGGTGCTGTATGCCTGTAATCCCAGAACTCAGGAAGTTGGGGAAGGAACAACTTGAGTTTGAGGCAGCCTGGCTCAGACTGTGTGTTAAAGGAAATTAAAGGCCAGGCTTGGTGGCACACGCCTTTAATACCAGCACTCAGGAAGCAGAGCAGGCAAGGCAGGATCTCTGTGAGTTCCAGGCCAGCCTGGTCTACATAGTAAGTTCCAATTCAGCTGTGGCTGCAGGGAGACCCTGTCCCAAAAAAATAAAAATAAAAGGATTTTTTTAAAAGGCTGATTCTTCTTAGAATATACTGATCTCCAGCAGAATCTAGCCTTGGAGAACTTGCTCACCAAACTCCTTTGTCCTCTACTATATCCAAGGAAGATGCTCACCAAGGATGTTGCATACCTCCACTCTCTTCCCCAGGCCAAACTCCTCAGCTTGGACCTTATCTTTTCCTCAGTCTGGTACCTCTGCTCCTATCACTTAAGAGTTCATTCATTCCTCAATTATTAAGTATGCAATCTTCCCAGAAGCTTAACCTTCTTGTTTATTTTTTTATTTTTTATAGAGAGAAGAGAGGCAGAGGTTTAAGGTGTCTTCCTCAATGGCTTACCATCCCCCCCCTCCCAGTGTGTGTGTGTCTGCCGTACACATCCATGCCACATTGAGTGTGCAGAGGTCAGAGGACAAGTTGCTGTTTCCTTCCACCATGTGGGTACTGAGAATGGAACTCAGGTCATCAGGTGCAGTGGCCACTCCCTTTACCAGGTAAGCCATCTTGCCAACCTTTATCTTTTTTGAGACAGAAATTGTCACTAATCCCAGATCTCAGTGACTGGGCTAGACCTGCTATCAACCAGCTCCAAGGATCTTCCTGTCTCTGCCTACTCAGTACTGGGGTTACAGACAGATGCCATTGCACTCAGCTTTTTACATGGGTGCTGGGGATCTCAACATAGACCCACAGGCTTGCATGGCCTGGAGGCAAGCCCTGCCTCTCAAACGTACAGATGGCTATTTACACTTCTTGTCCTGGCTATCATAACAAGCTATCTAGGACTGCAAGCATCTATCACCCTCACCTGAAACCCAAACCATGGATTCCTTTTACTTTTATTAATTTTTCTTCAGAAAGAATGTCACCATGTAACCCTGCCTGGCCTGGAACTCCCTGTGCAGACCGGAGTTCCCCTGCCTCTGCCTCCCACGTTCAGGAACTAAAAGTGTGCACCATCAGACCCGACCTTCTTTAAGTTTTTTGGGTGTTTTTTTGTTTTTTAACATTTATTTATTTATTTGTGTATGGGAAGGAGGGATGGGCTGGGTGCACACATTCCACAGCAGATGTATGGCGGGCAGAGGACAACTTGTAAGAGTTCATTTCTCCCTCCACCATGGTTGCCATGGCAAACTCAGATCATCAAGCTTGGCAGCAAGTTCCTTTAGTAACTGAGCCATCTCTCTGGCTGACAGTTCTTTTCTTTCTTTTTTTTAAAAAATAAATATTTTATTATTTTATGTGTATGAGTATATTGCCTGCAACAAGTGCATCCGTGTTGTGTAATGGAGGTCAGGAGAATGTTAGATTCCCTGGAACTGGAGTTATGGCCGGTTGTTAACTGCCATGTGGATGCTGGGAATTGGACCTGGGTCTTCTGCAAGAGCAGCCAGTGCTCTTAACCACTGAGCCATCTCTCCAGCCATGAGTATTCCTTTTCTTCCTGGCCCCTGACATCCTACAATCTATTCTTAACAGAAACCAAAGTTAATAGACCTACATGAGAAATTTTTTTTTAATTTTGAAAAGATACATTCTGTGGGTCAAGGATGACATAGGGGTGAGCTACAAAGCTCCACCAGAAAACTGCAGAGTGATGGAGTATTCTAGGGTGGTTTTCACCATACCTGAAATATTATAAACACCCCAAAGTGTTTTCCTTAACCTCCCATCTAGCTAAGATGTTCATCCCTCAGTAACTGAATGGTTGGTTCACCATTCTTTTCCTTCTAAGTTTTTATAATTTTATTAATTTAATGTTTAACACATCTCTCCCCCAATACTGTCATAACCTGACATGGTCCCTGACATATCATGAGGCTCTGACTCAGAGCACATCCTCCATATTTAAGTGAATGAACCAATTAGCCCTACTGCCACATTCAGGGTCTGGTACCATCCTACTATCCCTCCTGTGGGTTGTGTAAGTAATTCAGTGGTACAGTAAATGGCTGACAAATGCAAGGCCCTCAGCTCTGTTCCCACTACCACCACCACCACCAAATAAATAAGTCATAAACCTATATGTGCAAACTTCAAAACTAAAGTTCAGTCATCGCTGCTGAGCAAGGCATTGATCTGCCTTCCCAGAGAATTCTCAAGCAGCCATTTTAACTCTTCCTGGTTTCCCAAACTCTAACGGTTTTCTACTCCTCCTCTTCATCCTTACTGAGTTTCTTATATTCTTTAAAAGAATGTACGCATACCTTTCCTCAACTAAAATTCATACCTTTGACACCCTAAAATTTCAGAAAATGTTTACCTTCTTTGTATGCCATCTTTTTATTTTTAAATTTGTCTATGTGCACATGCATGCACACAGAGGCCAGAAGAGGGCATCAGGGGTCCTCTACTCCTTGAGGCAAGCTGTCTTCCTGAACCTGTTTTCTCAGCCAGTCTGGAAGGCCGCAATCCCCAGCGATCCCTTGTCTCCAACCTTAACTCACTCAAAGCTGGGGTTACAGGCATGGGTTCAGAATAGGATGCCTGGCTTGCTATATGGGTGCTGGTCCTCAGGATGCAGCAAGCACTCTTAACTGCTCAGCTGTCTCTCTAGCTCCAATCTTTCTGTGGTTGTTGTTTTTTGAGACAGGGTCTCCCTGTAGCACTAGCTGGCCTGATGCTTGTCATGTAAACTGGGATGGCCTCACTCTCACCTGCCTCTGCCTCCTGAGTGCTACGGATTAAAGGTATGCAGCACCAAGTCCTTCTTTTCTGACACTGACTCTACATTTTCAGTTCTTTATTCCCCCTCATATTGTTCTCTAACTTCCAACATTCATCATTCTACTCATAAATATTTTTAAACTTGCCTGGAGTTTTTCATTTATTGATACATACTATACTGTTTTTGGCCTTCCTTCGGCTGCCACACATTGTAGTCTGAATGTCATAGGGCTTCTCCATGAATGTGGTTGGGAGTATTGGTCCATACAGTTGCTATGGACAGCATACAACACACACTGTGGTGCTAGAAAATTAAATACCCTTTTTCTTTTGGTCTTTTTTTTCTGGTATCCCTGTAGCCTCAGCTGGCCTGGAGCTTGCTATGTAGACCAGGCTGGCCTTGAACTCACAGAGATCTGCCTGCCTCTGCTGGGATTAAAAGCGTGCACCACCACCACGCCTGGCTTTAATAGTAATTTTTGCAGGAATTCAAAATGCCCAATTTATCTCATTTAGAGATCTGTGCAAACTAAAAATAACTAGATGAAATTACTTCACAGTTAAGCAGTAAACTGATCTCTTTTTTAAACTGATATTCTGCTTATTCAATGATTACAAATGTAGCTGCCCCAAAAATCTCCCTTGTGACCGATCTGATGGCCTACGTTGTCTTTTTTTCTTCCCTGAGGAACTGGAAATTGGAGATTGAGCTTAGGGCCTCATATATGTCAGCCAAGTATTTGACCACTGAGCTACATCCACATTCTTCACTTTGAAACAGGGTCTTGCCCTGATTGATCTTAAACATTACTCTGTAGCCCAGGCAGACCTTGAACTTGAGATCCTTCTGCCTCAAATCTCCATAGTGCTTGGATTATAGACATACATACTACATCTAGCAGGTTTTGTAACTTTCGTTAAAATATATTCTTAGGTTTTGAGCAACTCAGAAATGATTATGAAAACCAACATACACTTTTTTACATATCTATATAATTTGAAAGAAAAACAAAGAATACTTACAGTACTATGAAAAACAACACTGTGTCCCTTCCCTAAACTTTCTATATGGGCTGAGAGGTTAAAGCATATGGCTCGATGTCTTATCGCATCCAGTGTTTGTGCATCGAAGAAATCATGTGGTCGTGCTAAAAGTCAACATACACAAAAAAAGGTAAAGAAGGTTTAGAAAATTGAAACAGTCTGCCAAACAGCTTATATGTTCTTGAAAAAAAAAAAGGAAAACTCTAACTTTGTTAACAAGCAACCAGCAAGTACTATCCAGTTTAAATGCAAGCAAGGTGTCTGCTTTCAGAACAGGAACTACAGCTGATAAAGGTGTCAAGAGGCAGAATTTCAATTTATCAAGGAACAGGTTGATTATCTCCACCTCTAACCACAGACTTTACGATTCACATTGCAGCAACCTTAGTTTTCACAGAAATCCTCTCAAAGCCAATTCTACATTCTCAACAACGAACATCTTCATCTGTGTTTGAGGTCTAAAACTTACCATGGTTATTTCATGAATGTTCTATTTTAATGTTATCAAAATGTTTCCAAAATTATGACAAACGGATATTATTTCCAGGCTTTCAACTAATACTTTCTTGATTACAAATAAATGTCCTAAGAACAATTTAAGAAAAATTGCAAATATAAATTTGAGATGGCTGATGTTTTGAATTCCTGAGGGTTCGAATGATCCTCCCACCTCAGCCTTCTCCCAGGCACAAGCCACTGTACCCAGTCAAATGCCACCCAAGACTGAAAACAAAAAATCTAGGGACTGAAGACAGGGCCTCTGTGAAAAAAGCACTCCACCCCAGTGATGAATTTCTCAGTCTCAACTTCACCATTTGTCAACTGTTTGTGTACAAATGGCTTAACCTTCATTAGATTGTTTCTTTTTCTCAAAAATGAAATGAGGGGCTGGAAGCTGGAGAGATGGCTCATGAGTCAAAAGTATTGGCTGCTCTTGCAGAGGACCTGGGTTTGGGTCCCAGCACCCACATGGAGGCTAACAACCATCTGTAACTCCAGTTCCAGGGAATCCAACACCTTCTTCTGACCTCCACAGGCATTTGCATGACACAGATGCACTGACACACATGCAGGCAAAACACTTATACTCACATAACAAACTATTTTTAAAAAGTAAATAAATAAAACCACTTCTAATTCAGCTTCTGTGGCATACACTCCTATCTCCTGTGGAGATGAAGCAGGTTCATGAGTTCAGAGCCACCCTAAGCATAAGCAATGTAGCAAGACCCATTCTGCAAAGAACCAGGGGTGGTAGGGTGCCCTCATTATTTCAGCACTGTGTAGACCAACACAGAAGAATCCTGATTTCCAGTTCAACCTTGACTACACAATAAGACTGTCTCAAAAAACAAAAAAGGGAAAGATGGAAAAAACAGTCCTACTTAAAATCTGCTTTTTAGAACTAATGAAGTAAAAATAACCTTCTTGAATTACATGAGGAAAGAACTGCAAAGATGTGATGGCTGACTGGGTTGTCAACTGGACACAGTGGGAAGAGGGGACTTCAACTGAGTAATTTCCTTCATCAGTTTGGCCTATGGGTATGTCTATGGGGCAATTTCTTGCTGATTAATGTAGGTAGGCTTAGCCCACTGTGGGTGGTGCCACCCCTGGGCAGCTGGGCCTGGGCTGTATACAAAAGGTAGCCAAAGCTGAGAATGCCAGAGAGAATAAGGCAGTAACAGTCTGCTTCAGTTCCTGCCTTGGATTCCAGCGATGGACTTATAACCTGTCATCTAAATAAACCCTTTCTTCTCCCAAATTGCTTTTGTTCAGTGTTCTATCACAGTCACAGGGAAGCAAACTAGGACGCAAAATGATTACATTAATATGCATCTATATAGATGTGTATTTTATTTTTGTCTTTTTTTTTTTTTTTCCAGAGCTGAGGACCGAATCCAGGGCCTTGCGCTTGTTAGGCAAACGCTCTACCACTGAGCTAAATCCCCAACCCCCTAGATGTGTATTTTAAAAGGAAAAATGGAATTCAAATCATAGCACTGTCTTAATTCCCCAAAGCAAAAGGCTTTAGATTTTTTAGAGAGTAGCATAATCATTCTCTCCTTCAAAACAAGTAATGAAGTTTTCCATCCACCACATCTCAGCATTATACAAGCCAATGTTGAAGAAAACACTGCAGTTCAAAACAGCATTTTCTTGGGCAGGCACATGTACCCATTTCTCAACAAGAACTGGACGCTGACCTGAAGCCATCTTCACTTTATTAAGAACAGTGACCTGGGCAGAGTGCTGCATACCTGCAATTCCATTACTCAAGAGGCCGAGAATCAAAAGTTTGAGGCGACGGGGCTGGAGAGATGGCTCAGTGATTAAGAGCACTGGTTGCTCTTGCAGAGAACCCAGGTTCAGTTCCTAGCACCCACATGGTGGATATTTGTTCACAACTTCAGTTCCAGGGGATCCAATACTCTCTTCTGGCATTCCACAGGCAGAATGCACAAATGGTAGGCTTATACACAGGCAAAACACTCAAACTGGAGGGCCAGGAGTGGTGGTGCACTCCTTTAATTCCAGCACTTGGGGGGCAGAGGCAGGCAGATGGATCTCTGTGAGTTCAAGGCCAACCTGGTCTACATAGTGAGTTCTAGGCCAACTGGGGCTACAGGGAGACCCTGTCTCAAAAAAGACCCAAAAAACTCTTACAGAGGATGGAGAGATGGCTCAGTGGTTAAAGGCACTGACTACTCTTGCAGAGGACCCAGGTTTAGTTCCCAGCAACCACATGGTGGGTAACAAGCGGAGTCCATCAACTCCAGACATAGGAGATCTGGCAGTCTCTTTTGGCCTCCTGGCCTCCAAAGGCATTACACAACACAGGTATACTTACATACAGACAGACAAAAACATTCATACACATAAAATAAAATCAAAAAACTTAAAAACACTCATACATGTGATTCAAAAAATAATATTTTAAAGAAAAGTTTAAGGCCAATCTGGGCTACAGTGAGTCTGTCTCAAAAACAAAGTAAGAACAGAGTGGCAAACTGTGTGAGTATTGCCACATGAGTGGTTCTGGATTACTGTGGGTACAGAGGACATGTGAAGTGGGTAAACTGCCCTGTTCTTTGAGTTCTATGATAGAAATTAAGCACTTTCCATCTTTCTATTATACATTTATTTACGTAATGGGGCACGCACAGGGTGCCATGATGCACATATGGAGTCAGAGGCAGGTTGCAGGAGTCATGTAGGTGCCAGGGATCAAACTCACATCCGGCAAGGTGGTATCTCACTGGTCCACAAGCAGTTTTCTATGTGCAACTACAAACTGCTTAAATTAACATGTAAACTGGGCACTTGGGAGGCAGAGGCAGGGGGATCTCTGTGAGTTCAAGGCCAGCCTGCTCTACATAGTGAGTTCCAGGCCAGCTGGGAATACCGGGAGACCCTGTCTCAAAAATGACCCCCCGCCCGCCCCAAAAAATTTTTTTTTAATTAAGTCAAAAGGGAATGGGTGCTTAACCTAATTCAATAGCCAACTTTGATGAAATATAAAGATGCTTTTACTTCAGTTAAGAAATGTCAGAGTTTAGGAAGGTTTGTTCTTCATTTGTGGCCTCTCCATTTGTCCACTGCATCCTTGTAGAATCAAAAATATCTCAGTGGTTAGAGGCAACTTTATGGCCTGAGAGTTGCATGTCATCTCTTCTGTGCTCACCTGGAGAAAACCACAGAACCAAGCACAATGCTGGGCTCTAATGCTGGGCTCTTCAGTTTCAAGGTCAGGTCCTGATCCCAGCATCTGCAAGCCTATCATTCTAATTATTCTCAACCCTAAATACCAAGGGAGCATCTTATAAGCCAGTCATTGAACACATTATTTAACCTTTTCTTGCTATCTTTAGCATGTTCAAATTTTCTAAAATATTTCTAGAAACATCAAGACTGCCATAATTTAAATTTTTCTCATTCCTAACAGAATCTTAGCAATCCCCAGTACCTAACTCTAAATATACAACCCATGTTCTAAGGTCACATACATTTCACTCCTTTGCCTTCTACAAATATGTACCACTAGATTCCCATGCTGATAGGCACATATCCTGTTAACCCCTCCCCCAGAGACTCCGGCAAACTGAAGAACAATAAACCCGGGCTTGCTTAAAAAGCTCAAGAGCAGACAAACCCCGGCACTCCCTGGGACTGTCCAAGGGAGACACTTACGCAATGAGCGCCGTCTTTTGTTCTTTAGCTTCCTCCTCTTGTTCATTCCAGCTTTAGAAGGAGATTCTTCTTTGGCCTTTGGCTGGCTAGAAACTTTTGAGGAATTCTGCTGACTGAAGTGTGTGGGTACATGGCGAGCTAGCCCTCCCTGAGAAGCAAAGCTGGCATTGCAGCCACCAACTACACACTAAAAACAAAAGACAAAAGGGGAGGTCAGGGTTACTACATAAGGCATGAACAAACTGGAAGTGAACAGTATTTTCATTTCTTAAAAAAATTTTATGTGTATGAGTGTTTTGCCTCCATACTTGCAAGTGTTAATTCAATGCCCGCAGAGTCCAGAAGAGGGCATCAGATCCCCTGCAACTAGAGTTATAGGTCATTATTAGCTGCCATATGGGTGTTGGGAACCAAACCTGGGTCCTTCTGGAAGAGCAGTCAGTGTTCTTAACCACTGAGCCATCTCTCCAGTCTTGAATAGTATTTTCAAAAATCAACCCATGGCAAAGAGAAGTAATTCTAGAAGCACTTCCTTTACAAAGTTTACTTTCTAAATAAACCAGGCCGTCCAAGTAGCACACGTTCAACACAGGCATGGCTGTTTTCAAGTTCAGGCTTCGTGGTCACCAGGTTACAGTTCTCGCCCCACTATACCAAGACAGAAACAATGGGATTACACACCTAAAGAGCTGGTGTGGAATGATACTCTAATGACCACCTGGATTCTTGGGGGTTTTGTTTTGTTTTTGACACGGGTCTTACTGACAGCCCTGGCTGGCCTGGATCTCATTATATAGACCAGGTTGGCCTCAGAACTCTCAAAAGATTAACCAGTGTCTGTTCTCACAAGCGCAGATATTAAAGCATGTACTGCCATGCCTATTAGGGTGGTGCACACATCTAATCTCAGTACTTGGGAGGCAGATCTCTGTGAATTTGAGGCCAGTCTAGCCTACATAGCAAGTTTTAGGATAGCCAGGGTTACCTAGGGTAGCCTAGAGACACTGTTTCAAAAATGAAAGAAAGAAAAAAAGAGAAGGAAGGAAGGAAGGAAGGAAGGAAGGAAGGAAGGAAGGAAGGAAGGAAGGAAGGAAGGAAGGTAGGTTGGTTGGTTGGTTCTTCAGAAACAAGCCAGCCAGGCGTGGTGGTGCACGCCTTTAATCCCAGCACTCGGGAGGCACAGGCAGCACTACCAACTACCAGTCAGAGGGAAACTCTACTGCTGCTAGCGAAAATCCTGCCATTAATGTAGCACACTTCCAACACTCAAAAGTTGAAATTCTGAACTGGGGGCAGTGGCACATGCCTTTTGTCCCAGCACTCGGGAGGCACAGGCAGGCCGATCTTTGTGAGTTTGAGGCCAGCCTGGAATACATAGCGAATTCCAGGCCAGCTGGGGCTACAGGGAGACCCTGTCTCAAAAAGACAAAAAAACAAAAATGTACAAGCCACCTCAAAATCTTCTGCAGTCTCCTTACTTTTCTGTAATGTTCTAACAAGTAGGAAAAAAAAATTTAACATGCCCTTTGAGAAGTAAGACCACAGACCCGACTCTAATAGAAGACAGCTGTGAAGGCAGCTACTCTCACCAGTGAGTGCAGAACCCCGGCAGTCAAACATGTTACCAAGTAATCCCTAAGCAAAATCCAGAACTGAACTGATAATGACTTTTCTATTACAAGTTAGTATCCAGTTTACCTGGTTTCTGACTTGAAAACCAAACAAGTCCTAAAATGGGTAAGGTTCAATCCCAAACATCTCAAAACACCCTTACATAGTCCAGGCTCTTTAATTACCGATTTGGACTTCAGCACAATCCTCTATTAGTAAGAGTGCTAACATTTTTCTTAAACTGCCTAAATCTGCCCCAGGTGGACAATAAAGAACTAGTCCTCACCCCTTCGCAGCTAGACATCCAGCTGACACTTTCCATGCATCTTGAAAACATGAATGCCTTTATGGATATCTTTAAGCCCAGAGCATCTTGTGAAATGCAGACCATTTCTACAGTATTAATCAATAGCTATGTGCATATAGATTCTGACAAAATGATGGCTCAAACATTTAACAAGCTCCTTACATAGTGCTAATAAAAGCTTCTATTTTGGCATCAGGAGACATTTGGGGGATTTCTAATACTACTTAGCATCATAATTTAAAAACTTAAAAAAAACTTTACTCACTTCTGGGGTGCTCGATAAGTTAAAACGATGACAAAAGATTTCAGTTCAGATAGCTGTCAATGTTCACTGTTATAGAAGGCAAACTTCCTTACCACAAAAGGCATCTATGTATTCAGTAAGACATACAGAAAAAGGGGTAGCTTCAAGTAGTATGGTGACTCAGCAGAGAAGCAAGAAGCCACATTCACTCTTATAATTAATAATTCAGTTAAGGGGCTGGGTGTGCAGTCAGTGGCAGACCAAGCACAAGCCCTGAGTTCTAGCTGCAGTTTCACAGAAAGAAAAACAATACAGTCAAAACTTTTAATTCATGTGTTTTTTTCCAGCAACCTTGTCAAGGGTGTTATCTTCAAATAACCTGTATCAAATGACTCCTAATTCCAAAAAAGGTTGCAAAAAACATACATTGGGAAAAAAGACAGTCTATTCAACAAATGTTAGCAAATCTGGCTATCTACCTTCAAAAGAATGAAATTAGATCAGCTCTTCCCGAACTGCACAAAGATCAATCCAAACTACCAAGGCCGTAGGTTTACAGAAATGCTGAAGATGCTAGAGGAAAACATTTCAAGACACAGGCATAAACTGGGCACAGTGACACGGGCCTTTAGTTCCAGCACCTGGGGACAGAACCAGCTGGATCTGAGTTTGAGGCCAGCCTGGTCTACATAGCAATTTCTAGGTCAGCCAGAGCTACATAGCGAGACCCTCTCTCAAAACAACAAAGAAAAATCATGATGAGATTCCATCCCACAGTAGTCAGAATGGCTATTATCAAGAAAACAAATGCCAACAAACACTGGCTGATAAGGGTGTGATTGGGTGCAGTCACTATGGAAATCAGTGTAGAGATTCCTTAAAAAACTAAAATATCACTCCAGCTGGGCGTGGTAGCACATGCCTTTAATCCCAGCACTCAGGAGGCAGAGGCAGGCAACTCTGGTCTACACAGAGAGGTCTAGGCCAGCTGGGACTGCAGGAAGACCCTGTCTCAAAAAAGACCAAAAAGAAAAGTTGGTTTTCTCCTTCCACTGTGGGTTCCAGGGACTAAATTCAGGCTGTCAGGTTTGTGTAGCAAGTACCCAGCCACCTCCCAGCCAGATCCTAGCTTTTGAATTTTTACATATGCATATTTATGTGAATGTGAATGTACATGCAGGTCTTCAACTAAAAAGGGGGGGCAAGAAAGGTACATAGCTTTGAGGAAAGAGGACAGAACATAAGTCACTTTGAAATAAAAAAGGGACTATAAGGGTGAAGGGACATGAGGGTGAGAATGGAGGAGAACCAACAAAAACAAATGTGTGAAGGTGCGTAATTAAACTGTGCTCATTAGCTTTTCTCTACTTGACACAAACAAGCCACCTGGAAGACGGAACCTCAACTGAAGAAATTTCCCAGATCAAAGTGGCCTGTGGCCATGTCTGTGGAGATTTTCTTAACTGCTAATTGATGTAGGAGGGCCCAGTCCACTGTGGGTGGCATTATCCCTGGGCAGGTGGGCCTGGGCAGAATAAGAAGGTAGCTGAGCAAGCCAGGGGAAGCGGCAGCCAGCAGTACTCCAGCCAGCTGGTCCTGCCTTGGCTTCCCTTAAGGACAGTCTGGAGTGTGAGATGAAATAAGCTCTTTCCTCCCAAAGTTGGCTTTGGTCAGTTTTTTATCACAGCAACAGAAAATCCAAACTAGGACAGAAACCTATTACTGGGGAGGCCAGATGGCTCAGCAGGTAAAAGCGCTTGGCACACAAGCGTGAGGACCTGAGTTTGTTCCCCCTAAATCCTCATTTGTTGAAGACAGAGTCCCTGAAATTGTCCTCTGACCTCCACACATTAACTTCTGCCCTTTGTCCTGTTCATATTCACACACACACAATTAAGGGCTGGAGAGACATCTCAGTGATTAAGAGAGCTTGCTGCTCTTGCACAGACTACCAGTTCAGTCCCTAGAACCCACATTGGTGGGAATTCAAGCACCAGTGTTCTAATGTCATCTTCTGGCCTCCATGGGTACCCACATGCAAGTGGGCATGCACACATACAGACACATATGTATATAATAAAAAAATTGGGGGTTTTGTTTATTTTGAGGCAACATCTCACTATATAGCCCTGACTGGACTAGAACTCACTGTGTAGACTGGGCTGGTCTCCAACTAGATATCCACCCACCTCTGCCTTAGTGCTGGGGCTAAAGACATGAGTTATCACACCCAATTATATATATGTCTTTTTGAGACAGGGTCTCCCTGTAGCCCTAGCTGTCCCGGAACTCACAGAGATCCACCTGTTGGGATTAAAGGTGTGCGCCACCATGCCTGGCACACCCAACTGTATCTTTAAAACACATTTTAACAGTATCGTAACTCCAGTCCCAGGAGATCTGATGCCCTCTTCTGGCCTCTGCAAGCACTGCATACATGCCTTGTACTTATATACGTGCAGGCAAAACGTACATAAAGTAAAAATAAATAAAATCTTGGGGCTGGAGAGATGGCTCAGCGGTTAAGAACACTGGTTGTTACAGTCCCAGGAGATCTGATGCCCTCTTCTGGCCTCTGCAAGCACTGCATACATGCCTTGTACTTATATACGTGCAGGCAAAACGTACATAAAGTAAAAATAAATAAAATCTTGGGGCTGGAGAGATGGCTCAGCGGTTAAGAACACTGGTTGTTCTTGTGGAAGGCCGGGGTTTGAATCCCAGCACCCACATGGCAGCTAACAACTGTCTGTA